TAATTAACTGACATTCAAATATAGGATTACGCAACTGGTGGTCGCAAAGTGTAACTGATATTTTTTCTAGGCAACAATTCTTGCTTCAAAACTTATCATTCTGTTCCGAATTCCTAGTCTTTGTTATACTCGGACAAAAACGAAATTTACCCTTAATTAATAGTTCGCTATAGTCGATAATTTTTTTATGATACGTGCTTGGCCCGGCCCCACGATGTTGCGCTTTTTTTTTTTAATTTTGAGGATATTTTTATTGCTAATAATTAATTTATTGTCTACACTCCCGTTTAATACCCGTATTTGAATGGGCAACCATTCGAAAACTTTGCTCGTTAATAAAAAATGTGGGTAACTATTTAAAAAAACAGTTGTATGACGTCACGGCGCTAAAAACTCATATTAAAGCAAAGTTTTTCACGGTTTCACAGCCTTTATATTTTTTTTTTCAAAAATCTGGCTCGTTATTTTTCGTTTCCTTAGGTATGCGTGGGATAGCGACAATTTGAGGCTTAGGAATCGCCACCCTAAAACCAGGGGGTGGCATTTGTGAACGGGAACAACAAACTGCGTGGACTGCCGCACCACCGATAAATTCGAAGGGGGTTCACCTATTGTAGAGCGAGGGTGAAATAGACGATGCTGGGAGACGGAACATATAGGGAACCACTGCAAGGAGAATTTATTACCTCAGCAGGAGATGCTACAACTGTGGCTAAGATTGGACACCAAGTTAGGAACTGTAAAGAATAGACAGCTTGCTCAATCTGTAACAAAATCAAGCTGGGATGGGAGATGGACATAGAGCTTTTTAAAACTGATAGAAGGAAAGCACAACAAACACGGCGAAATAGTGTCCGGGAAAGTGGTGATGTGGCAGTGATCTCACAGGAGAGCGGGCGATGTAATGAACATGTTCAAAATGAAGTGCTACAGATAAAATAAAACAGTAACATTTGAACAGTACGGAACAGCTTCTAAAACGCGATGTCTTATAGCAATTTTGAAAAAAAAAACAACGTTATATTTCTATTCGATTTGGGTTTCAATTTAGAAATCTTGGGACTACCTCACTAGAGCCCCACTTTTTACATATTTGGCAATGAAAGTATTGTCATTGTTAATTCAGTCATTAAGAACGATCTATGCAGCCGCTATGCATTGTTCAAACCTCATTTTTATTTTACGGATGTGATCAATCGATCAATTAAACCCACGGGCCCGTAAAATGGAGACAGTTACCTACCTCCGAACTTCTTTACAACGGAAATAGTCAAGGTTGACAAGGTATAGTGTTAGTAAATTGCTGTATTATTAATAACGAGCGTGCTTTAAATGTATTATTACAACTTTACTATTTTGTTAACGCACGCTATATCGTTTTAAAGTTTAATTAGTTAGTACTTTGCCTTACATTATTCATACATTCGAGAAGGTACATATATCACTTTTTGGTAGTGAAACTGTTTTAATTCGTAATTATACTCATCAAGAGGAATAATGTTATTTATAGCCAAATTACTGTTTGGGAGTGGTCTTTAAATAATTAAATAATTAGCGCATTGAAGACGAGACGAAGATTTTGATTCAAAAAAGTAAATTCACCCTGATACGACCTCACGCATCAAGCACCGAAAAAGAGAATGTAGGTACATTCGCATTTAGGGGTAAATGTTTTGACGGCGATTATTCCGGGAGTGAATTTATAGAGACGAATATTGTGGAGGCGAATATTCCGAGTGTGAGTTTTTGGGGGTTTCAACGGCGGATTATTTCTTGGGACAAATTTTTTACACAAGTATACCAGGGAAAAATTTTCCAAGAGCAATTTTATCAATCTTAAATTTTCAAGACGAGAATTTTTCCATAGAGAATTTCCCCAGGGCGAATTTTTCGGAGACGAGATTTTAAGTGCCAAATATTCCAAGGCCTATTTTGTTGGAGGCTAAATTTTCCGTATGCGAATTTTCTGGAAATGAATTTTTCCACGACAAATATTCCCAAGACGAATTTTGAGGGGACAATTTTTGTGGGTCAAATATTTCAAGGGCGATTTTTTTACGTTTCTGGAGACAAGTTTTCCACGCAAGTTTCCGGGGCGAGTTTATAAGCGAGTATTCCAGGGCATAAACTTCCAACGCAAATTTTTCTTTGACGATTTTTTGGGGACCAAATATTCGAAAGATGATTTTTTCGACATTTTCTGTAAATGTATTTCCTTTTCTGGACGAATGTTTCAAGGGCAATTTTTGGAGCCTACATTTTCCGTAGGTAAATTTTTCGAAAGCGACTTTTCCCAGAACAATTTCCCTTGGAGTTTTTGGGAGTCAAATATTCCAAGGACGACTTTATTCGGTGGGCAAATTTTTTAGGAAAGAAGTTTTCCAGGAAGAACCCTCCCGAAAATTGTTGGGGGTGAAATTTTCACGCATATTACGGGAGGAAAATCTGTCCCTGTATGAATTTATGGGTTGAATCTTGCACGGAAGCATTTTAAAAAGGCGAGATTTTTTCATAGCGAATTTGTCTCGTATATTTTTTTCGGAGAACAAGTCTTCAGGGGTCAAATATTCCAGGGGCGATTTTTAGAGCCTCGGATCCTCAGTAACGTGTAAATTCCACATTCCATGCAAAGGCGAATTCCGGAAATGAATTTGCCTGAAAGAAATTTCTTCCCAGGTGAATTTTTCTAGTGCCAGTTTTCGGCATCTGCATTGAATTTTCTTATGCGACCAATTTGCTCGAGTTCAGTATTGCATATATTCCAGTGACAAAGTTTTCGGTTTTCTTGGACAACATTAGGGGAGGATTTTCGGATTTTATGAATTTTCATCAACGCCTTTGAAGTGGCAAAAAAGAAATGAACGAGAAACTAAAACAAACAACAACAAAAAGGGAATTTTTAGAAAAAGAAGGGCTTGAATAAGTTACTTGTCTTTCAAAGCACAAAGTTCATCGGTCATAATATTTTGTATAGGTCTCTAAGGTCTTACTATAATCGTTCCTAGAGGTGCCTCGAGGATATTCATCCCAGAACCATTCGCTCCCAAAATAAAGGACTCAATAGCCTTCCCGTCTCCCAAGAACACAAGAAACAACTATTTCCCTGTGAAATATTCCTGGGATGAATTCTCCAGAGGCAAATGAGTTGTTGGGAGTAAATTTTCGGCACCATTTTATTTAAGAATGGATATTGCGGAGGGGGGATCTGTAGAAACAAATATTGGGAGAACGTATTGAATTTACAATGTGCACCTCTAGAATATTCGCTCAAACACGCCTTCTAAGATATTCAATATTCATCCTCGAAAAATTCGTAGTCGCTTTGTTCCTGGGAAATCCTAGAGGTGGCGAAATTCCGGATCAAATTTCCCGACACCAGTTTTCAGGTGGGATAGTCCTAGGGGGAAACAAGTACCATTTTTTGTGTACACCAAAAATTCAAATTCAAATTAATTCACGTTAATTCAAAATAATTCACGTAAATTCAAATTAATTCCCGTTAATTCAAATTTATTCAATTTATTCAAATTAATTTACGTTAATTAAAATTGAATCATGAACATTTTTGTAGATGTATTTCCTTTTCTGGACGAATGTTTCAAGGGCAATTTTTGGAACCTACATTTTTCGTAGGTAAATTTTTCGAAAGCGACTTTTCCCAGAACAATTTTCCTTGGAGTTTTTGGGAGTCAAAGATTCCAAGGACGACTTTATTCGGTGGGCGAATTTTTTAGGCAAGAAGTTTTCCAGAAGATTTCCCGAAAATTGTTGAGGGTGAAATTTTCACGCATATTACGGGAGGAAAATCTGTCCCTGTATGAATTTATGAGTTGAATCTTGCACGGAAGCATTTTAAAAAGGCGATTTTTTCGAGTCCAGTATATAGGAAGAGGTTTTCTTGTGTAAGACCATCGGAGTCGTAGCACCGGGGGGTTTGGGGGTATTGAATACCTCCCAGGATACGAGGAGTTTATTTATTTGACTATAGGAATGGCCTCATGGTGATACTGATGTTTGTAGGAAAATGGTCATTGAACTGAAATACCCCCCTCCCAGTCCAGAACCGTCTGCTGATCACTCTCACTCCAGTTTTCGAGGAAACACCATGGATGCGATATGTGTAGTTTTATGAATGGTAATTCTCCACCGGAATATTCGCCTCACGTTATTTCTCACCTGTAATGATAACATGTGTCCGCGAATTATTACCCTGGGAACATTAGCCCAAAAGCTCTCCAGAAGATTTCCCCTCGGAAAATTCGCCACCGATAAATTCTTTTCTTAAAAATCGCCTCCGTAAGGTTCGCTCTATCTTCCGCAGATGTTTAATGAATGTTAAAAGGGTAACTTTTCTGAGGGTGAATATTCCGGTAAAGAAAAAAAACAAAAGATTTTTCGAATCTATTCCATGCTTCATTTCTACTCCAGTTCGAATGCCAATTACAGGCCATTCTTTCTGCTTTTGAAACTACCCCAAACGCCCCAGGCTGTGCGAATTCTCTTATTATGCAAATTTACTGCACCGTGAACGGTTTCATACAAAAATCTACTTTCGTCTTACCAGAAAAACTGCTTTGAAACCAGAGCGTCTACTAACGTTCAAAATAAAAGCATTCAATGACAGTTATCTCGTCTGATTTATCGTCGAAATCTCCCGATCTTTCGTTAGCAGCATGCTATCTTTTAATTGCCTCTCTATAAGCAGGAGGTGTAACGTGCTCGAAGCCGTTTTTGTAGAGTAATTGGTATTCATAGAGCATACACAAACTGTGAAGCCATTGTATGCAAATTTCAATCGAAGTTTCTTCGTACTGCTCGAACCGAAAATGTTTGCAACCCCCTGGATATTTGGGCAAAATGTATCGTGAATCGAGATCACGCAACTTTAACCCTGAATAGAACGGATATAATACGGTAGCACCATCGGTAGGTAGCTGGAGGGAAGCCGATACAAAAACGACACCGACAAAGTCGTCCTGAACTTAACCAGACCCAGACCAGTTGCTATTAAATCTATGAACGCGAAGGATGCATTCAGCATTTAAGATTAACAATTTCATTAAATAAATGAACCGGTTTGATCTTCATTCTGCAGTCTGTGCGCGCCGCTAATTATACAAAACGGCGCTAGTGCTTTATTGACTCGGTTTTCCACCAAAATGAAAACTCCTCGAGTGTTAATTTGGGAAATTGAGTGATTTAGTGCTTCGATACCCCACCGGTAAGTCGAGGAATGCTCGAGTAGTTTATTTTTAAAACATTAATTAACAATACCTCGTCGGCAGCTGTCGAAATAATGAGGACCCCCAAATCCAGCAGCTGCCTTCTTGGTCAACTAAAAAAAAACGTTCACCTTGAGTCGATTTGTATCTTGCACGGTGATAAAGGTAGCTTCTTACCGGAAATCCTGGCCGGATACGCGTTAAAACCGCTCCATTTTGTTGTTGCAGATATGTTTCAAGTGCGTCCAAAATAAACGCAAGAATGAAATGCGCTCTACAATTTTTAACATGGATATTCCTATTGAAAGCTGTCAGAGGTTACGAAGACCTGGTGGACGAATACGTAAAGCATGTGGGTGAGATGAACAGTATTTCGACTGCGAACCAAAGAATTAGAAATAGCGCGGAAGCGAGGAGGAAATTTAGCCAAAGATTTAGTAGTCATAGAAGGAAGCGCGAAACTGAAGTTAGCCAGTGGACGCACTTCGAGTTTTTGGATCCGAACAAGGATATTTTACTTAAATGGCAGCCGAGGCACCAGGAGATGCTGTTTCGGGTGGAGGCCAGAACGTTGGGATACGTCGGGATCGGTTTCAGTCCCAATGGAGGGATGCAGGGGGCCGACATCGTTTTGGGGTGGATCGATGATCGCACGGGAAGGGCTCACCTTTTGGTATGTACAAAACTTTTACAAAAGTCGACTTCCTTTATACATTTTAATTTCTCCCACGCGAAGAAAGGAGCGTATTATAATTCTTGGCGTAAGAGACGAAGAATTTTGCCGGAAACGGCGACAATTAAAAGAGAACGAGTAAAATTTTATTAGTCAATTAATTATTTTTAAACTTGTGCGTGGTTGGGATACAAACTTGGTGTAAAAAAATTTATATTAATTTTGTGTTACATTTGCATATTTTAAGTTTTATGTTGTACGTAAATCTTAACATGTTTTTTTGGAAGGTGGCACCTTGAAATTTTGGCATTTGCGGCTACTAACAATTTCTGCAATAATCCCTTGTGCGTAAGTGTAACGTAACGTTTTCCGCACTTTAACTCTTTAATTGGCAAGCATCTTGTTTCCGTTTAAGGAAAAACCGGTAGGAAAACGCAATCGGCTCCGACACACTGCTTGATGGATGAGTGTCGAGGCGCCATTCAGCACTCAACGAGATTATTAAATATTGCAATTGATTTGACACGAACAAGTTTTTATAGACGACTTCATTTTTATAGTGGTCATTTCTATAACTGAACAACAAGGACAATTTGGCATATTTCGTGACGTAACAATCGCATGCCACAACAGCAGGTGCGGTCGAGGTATCTTCAAAAAAATCTCGACCGATATTCGGAAAACCTCCCATTTAATGAATATCTTCTGAACGAACATACTGTACACGAACTTCCTGCTCCAAAATGGCATTTTATATGCCTTTGTGTGTTCTCAGATTGTTTAAATTCACAATTGGGCCCGATTGGATTATAGGATTTTTAACTTCTTTTTTCGTTGATGTCGCACTGTGTTTTCATTTTTACTTCCTGTACGCTGGGTTTCCCTTATTAGACATCCATCAATATCGAGCGTATGAAGTCGCGGGGAAAAATCTAGTATAGTAGGATTTTCCTTAGTTTGCACGCACGTCATCACTAAGTATGTTTATATAGCATCATGCAATCATTGGAAGAGAATGCGTATGTAGACAGCCATACAGACAGTGCTGCATTGTGGGTAGGATACCCATTACATCGACGACTATTGACCAATTACTAAAAAAATCTCAAAGGCTTATCACCGTCAAACCCAATTATCCAAATTGAAAAATTTGAAAAGTCGATAGAACTTTGACGATTAGAAATTTGCTGTACAGGCATATTTGAAGCATGAAGGTTTTCCTTTTCTGTCACGGTCGCCCCAATTTACGTGGGCTCTTCCAACGAAATTGAAGCGAGGGAAACAAAACTAGGGTACGTGTCATTATTCAGCTCCCAGGTACGATCATGAAATTAATAAAAACGGCTAGTTGGCACCTTTTCGTTTTCAACAAAATAATTTGCGGGAGAAGCCCGAAATGTTGTACAATCTTAGTTAAAAGTTACTTGATTTCTGGTGTTGGTGAAACTGAAAAATATGATAGTTTCATAAGTGACAACTGTAAAAGGTTATGTTAACAACTTCTTTCTCTACTAAATGGAAATATGCCGAGTTTAACGTGTATATTAACAGTTAATGTAATAAAAGTGTAATATATACAAAACTATTTTAGGTTTAGTTCGACATATACAAATTAAGAGACACTACTTTTGGAAGCGCATACATCCTAAAATTGAATGCCTTAGGAAAGAAGAATATCGTAGAGAGGATTACGTTTTCAATCTGGCAAGGATCGTCTTTTCCGTATCGATTACTCGAATGGGGAAGGGACAACTTTCGCATCTTCCATAGACCGCCTCTTTGTTAGCGACCGCCCATCAACTCCGAACGCCTTTTCTTTATCAGCCGGTCAGCTAACATCGATCGCCTCATCACTCGAAAGGGGAAATGTCATCTTTCGTATCTTCCATAGACCGCTGATTAACTTCGAACGCCTCTGTATCAGCCGGTGACTGTCACCTACCGCATTATCACAGGGGAAGGGACATGAATTACGTAAAATATGTAGAGAAACACATGTATGGTTATACGTCCTTTTTTGAACGTTTATTAAATCGTGGACAAATAGCATAATCTCTTAAGAAATTGAAGTTGGAATGTTGCTCACACTGACCAACTTATAAGTAATATGAAATATAAGTAACATAACCCCACGAATTTCGACGAAATTATGTGGACTTTGTATTAAGATTGTGGAAAATTTAGGGCTTCTCCCGCAATTTCATTGTTGAAAACGTTTAATTAAAATTGCTCTCTAGCTATTTTTATCAATTTCATGATCGTATCTGGGGGGCTGAATAACGTCATGTAACCCAAAGCTGAAGTTTTTGAAGTTTGAAAAATCACCGCGAAAGCAATCAAAACAAAATTACGCAATAAATTATGTAAAAGCTACTGATCTGCAATTTAAAAAATGTGCTGAAGTCTAGTAATGGCCCATCCGAAACTTTTTTGAATTTTTTAAAATGTATATCCCAATGGACTATGGAATTTACTAAAAATACCTCGAAAAATACCTGTTTCACAACCTCGGGACTACTGTAGAAACCCCCGGAAATCGATATGAATGCGAACGAAGTCGTCAAAGTCTATGGCAGTCTTCCGCAATTGGTGATTTCTGTGATAGTCTTTCGAAATCTCACTGATTTCATTGGCAGTCTTTGGAAATCGCAAAATGCACAAGGAAATCCTAGAATTTCCGATGTACCTCGGTCGCGATCTTTTACTGGCAACGTGGACATTATTACTTGGGCATAAAGGAAAACTTTAAAAAAAACATTTTGTTCTTTCGTAATAACAACGCCCGCAGTACGTAGAAGTAGAAGTTGCGAAGCGAATGCAATCTTGACTTCCCCAGACTCACGAGCAGAACCGTTAGTTTCATGCCAAACGACGGACATTTCGTGACACTTTCGAATCTGAGTAGCAGTCGGTGTTTTAATACACAAAAGGGAAGCGAAAATATATAAAAAAATAATTTTGTGCGTAAGAAAATACTAAAGCATAAATATGTTATACACACAACCAGTTACCAGGGGATGTCAGGAGAAACCTTCGTCGGGACAAAAACCCTGACATAGCAATAGCATTTCAATAAATCGGTCATTGCCGCATCCTGTACATAAGGAACAGAATGTTGGTACTAATTGTCGACGAGACATCTCCGCAGGAAGGGTTTTTATCCGCCAACGTCCAACCAAACAGGATTTCAAAACGTGTCGTCGACCCGTATACAAATGTCCGATGATATCCGCCCTCAAAAATAATTCAACGAAACCGACGTCCATGTCGAGCAAAAAATTCCCAATGATTCTAACTCACACGTCCAGGAACCGGGCATAACGGGATCCGTCTCCGAGCAAATCGTTGATTGGTCCAGAACTTCCACGATATAAAAATCATTCTTCTCACACACATCAATTCGTAACAATCTGCTGAATTCATGCCTCCAAAAAGCGAATGAACCAACTTTTCCATCCTGCAACGGAATATCTGCACTGCACTCTGTAGGACATAAGATCTCTGGGACCCACTATTAATCAGCGCACGCACTCTGTTGGTCTGGGTGCCAATCATCAAATATTGTCAAGGTCGCCAAAAATATTGCGACCAAGTAAAGAACTACCCGTCTTGAACTCGGCCTCTAAGTTGATGATCGCGAAATCAAACTTGAAGGTCAACAACTCTTCTATTATTGCACTATTGACACATAATCGAAAAAGCTTGACAACCCAAAAAAACAAACTCTCCAAAGACTGATATCAATTAAAATTAAAAGTGTCTTAATAACCTTACAATACTTGACAGTTGGCAATACTCTCCTGGCGAGTATGATATATAAATAAATGCGTTAAAGACATTTTGGTTCTAGAGTTTGATATACACATTAACTTTTCTAGTGCACGGAACAAATATTCTAGTATTAGTTTTCAACTTTAACCCCAAATTTTAACCGAAACGTATAAAAAGAGTCACCCTCGCATTTGCGAGACATCCCGTTTCCTGAAAGCACCGCGTCGATCCTCTCTAGGGAATGCAATCCCGCAGCAAAATCTCAATCCCGGTATTTGCGGGATCGTTAGATGTTAATCCCGTGGGATCCCGGTATTTCCGGGATCCCGCAAAATTTTAAATAAATCGGCTAATAAGCAATTTTGTGCGGTTAACTTCTGTATTAAAATAAATCGCTAATTATCACAATATTCAACAAAAAAGTACCTTCAGTATAACTAAAAAAAATCACCTGTAAAGTTTAGTGTAAAAAAAGGTAAACTTCTAAAGTACCTCAAAAATCATAGTACATTTTTAACGAAAAAAGTTTAACAATTATTTTAAAAATAACTTCTCCGTTATGCGTTTCATTAACAAAGCAAACAGGGTCCTCCCCTTGGTCGACAAATTCCTCAGTCCCGCAAATCCCGCGGGATCCCGCTCCATTTATGTGCGGGATTAATCCCTCAAAAATGCTGTGGGATCCCGGTATTTCGGGATCCTGCGATCCCGGTATTGCATTCCCTATCTATAACTTTTGATTGAGAAGTCTGATCGAAAAAGTACGAATTGATTTGGATTCTACGCACCCAAATGAATAAGAAAAAGTGTTTTCCCGAGAAATGTTGGTGTAGTCGATTTTTGGTAAAAAAGGAAGGTGCCTTTTTTAGAGCCCCGAAAAAGAAATTGTCTCAGATCGACCCGGAAAAAAAATTTTCTTATAGAATGTGGCCTGTAGAATCCATAATTTCAAACAGTTCCAAGATTGGGCTACTAGTTCAAAAGTTACAGCCCTTTGAATTTTTTTTCGAAATTGGTTTCTAGTCTATAACTTTTGATTGAGAAGTCTGATCGAAAAAGTACGAATTGTTTTGGATTCTACGCACCAAAATTAATAAGAAAAAGTGTTTTCCCAAGAAATTTTGGTGCAGTCGATTTTTGGTAAAAAAGGAAGGTTATACACTGCCTTTTTTTGAGCCCCGAAAAAAAAATTGTCTCAGATCGACCCGGAAAAAAAATTTTCTTATAGA